ATATATATTCTTTTTAAAAAACTTAACATTAACAGAGTTGCCTTCGATTTACTTCTGAAAGAGAAGTATAACCACTTCAATCAGACCACTGATTGAGAAACGATAATCATTTTGTGTATGCTTGTAACTGATTTGTACTCTTTATAAAAAAAATTATTTTTTAACAAATATTAAAATATATTCTTTAATTTAAATTTTTCATATTCAAACAATTTAATGACATCCAGTACAACAAATAATTAGTAATTACTTTGATGAAAATTGATTTGTAGGCCCCATGTGCAGGCCAAAATAATCTTGGCCATTTACTCACGTGGGCTCACGTGGGTCCCACCACCTGATCAATGGCCACGATTGTTTTGCCCTGCTTTCTTAATAAATCATTTTTCTTCTTTGATATATGATCAACTGGAAAACACACCCATTAGTAAAGCGGAAAAAATGAAAAAAAATCTGAAACAATCGAAATTAATGGGGTTTTACTTGCACTCTGGGGGTAAGTTTTTGTATCTGGATATATCTTTGCAATAGGAGTAGAACATGAGCTTCCTTCTTGCCCAATCCATTGCCGTAGTCTGTTGGCTCGATAACTTTGCAAAATCCTGTCCTTGTACTGGGTCGGCACTGGAACCGCTGGCCTCACTAGGACATGGAGAATCTGCCGGTGCTGCCGGATTCGATGCACATCCGGTGATTTCCATGTTGGCAAATGAAGCCACAAACGGCCCGTTGTTGTAATTAACTGGGTATTTTCCGCCGTGAGTCGCCCACTTCGATCCATCCCATATCGTAACGTGAACCGACATTGGCTTTGATGGGTACACCGACGAGAAGGCGCCGGTGCTAGGAAACTCTCTCACCGGTATATTGTCCACAAAAAACCTGCATATATTCCGTTCAAATGTTAGATGTCTCGAATTCGAATTTGAAACATATTTTGTATGGCTCCCAGTAACGTAGGATTGGTGTTTTTTTCTTACACTATATGGTGGCTGTTCCAGAGAATGCTGTAGTCATGGTATTGTTGTGTCGGATCGAACCAGAAATAGAACTTCTCTTCTCGTCCGGTAGTTACACTTCCGTTGGCATAGATGTTTGTTTGGACAACCCAGTCGTTCCTCTTGTCATGTCCGAGAAGTTCGATGTCAATCTCGTCGTGGTTGTGAGGAAACATGTCCCAATTTGACAACTACGACAACATAATAAACAGGGCAACTCCCCTGTTTTAGAACCTGTGAAAATCAAAGCTACAAAAAGAAGTATATATATGCACATGAAGGTGCTCACATAGAAGGCAACCACAACACCAGAAGAGAGACCGGCGGGTAACTTTATGGCCGCACTGAAGAATCCATAGTGATACTTGTTCTTTGATTCCAACCCAGAACCTGCAACAAAGAAATATCAGTTCTAGTTTAAAAGTCAAAAGTTCGAATATCTGTAATACTTCCTAAATTTTTGTTTATGTTTTACCTGAAGAGTTATCAAGGGTAAGAGTAGCCATGGATCCATTATTGAAGACCTTGATGTTTTGGAGACCATAAGCCTTAGAGAACCCCTGATCAACGGAGACGTGACTGAACAAGTCTGTCAGGCGAGGAACACTAGGAGGGGTGTACTGCCTGCTGTGTGAAGAAACCATGAATGTCATGCAAAAGAACGAGAGACCCAAAAGCAGAGTTTTCTGTTGCAAAAGTGCCATATTGGATGCTTTTTTTCCTCTACATTGATGATGAAAGGA